GCAGATGGATAGAGAGACAGATAAGATGGATAGATGGGTAACACTCACCAACAGATGAAAGGAACATTAAAAAAAATCTTTCAGCATCTGAATTGTGCAAAATCGACATTGTGCCAAGCTGGATTGACAAATCTGAGGGAAACACCAGGGCAAACCAATTGTAGCAAAGCTTAGGCCAAAATGAAAACTCTGAAAACCAGTTCCTAAGTTGAGCAAATAGGTTCATCCAGTGAAATGGGCCTGAGAGAACAGGCTCACTGGGCTCTGGAACAATAGATGGAATTTAGTGGGCACCACACAGGGAGGAAGGGACTGTGGCACAGAGGTAGTGCTCAACATGTTAGTTGAATGAATGAATGAATGGATGGATGGATGAGAGAGTAGAGTGTACCCCAAAGCTCAGTGGCCACCAGTGAGCATGAGAGTGGGGCATACCCCTGACGGGGAAAGACACTAAATTGTCCTCATTTCCTCTAATGTCAGGTCTATCAAGTTAGTCCCCGAAAAGGACAGCACCACCTGGAAGGCCCAGACAGGGGTCACCCTAGATGACCCTGAGTGGGCAGGACAGCCGACAGAAGACTGCGTACCATATGGCAGGGTAACCACCAGCTGCTCCCTCCCCTCCCTACCTGCTGCTGCTGCTGCCCCCGAGGGTCCCAGACCTGCCACCAGGCAGCACAGGGGGCAACTCACCTTTATTAAGTGCCTACTATGTGCCACGTTAGATTCCAGATACTTCATGTTTCTTAATCCTCACAAGCACCTAAAAAGGTAGATGGTGATAGCTCCATTTTAGAGATGAAGAAACCGAGGTCTTAAAGATTTACAAGATTTGTCTGTATTCTCATAGCTAGCAAGTGGCCAAGCTGAGACTCAAATCTAGATCAGTCTGAATCTGAAAATTGTATATTTATCCTCTTCTATGCTGTTTTATCAGTCCACCCACCCATCTACCCATTCATTTATCCATCCATCTACCCATTCACCTATCCACCCACCCATCTGTTCATCCCAACCATCCATGCACTTATCCATCCATCCACCCGACTACCTATCTCTACTCATTTATCTGGCCATCCACCCATCTATCCACCTACCCATCCATCCATTCATCCCAACCATCTATCCATACACTCATTCATCTACCCATCCACCTATCCATCCACCTACCCACCTATCTACACACTCATTTATCTGTCTGTCCACCCATCTATCTACCCATCCATCAATTCCTCCCAACTATCTATCCACACACTCATTCATCTACCCATCCACCTATCCATCCACCTACCCACCTATCTACCCACTCATTTATCTGTCTGTCCACCCACCCATCCACCCACTCATTCATCTACCCATCCAGCCAGCCATTTACCCATCCAGTCGTCTACCCAGAAAACATTTACAGAGCACCTACTAGGTACCAGACCAAATCTCTGCCCTGGAGGATATTGCATCCTAGTTGGGAGAAGATAGACCTCCAATGATTAGGCTAATAAGCAAGGTAATATCATATGATGATAAGTGCTAAAAAGAAAATAAAGCAGGATGAGGAAATGGAGAGCATCTGGGGGTTGGGGCATGCTCTGGATCAGATGCTCTGGGAGGTGGCATTTGAGCCAATCCCTGAAGGAGGCTAAGGACTGAGCCATGGAAAGAGGAGGGAAAGTGTGTTGCAGGCAGAAGCCATAGCAGGTGCACCTCTTTCTGAGGTGGGAAAGAGCTTGGGATGCCAGAGAGAGAGGCCCCATGAGGCTGGCAAATAGTGAATAGGGGTGAGGTCGAGAGGTGGCCCAGGAGTCTGGACTTATTCTTCTAAGAGCAAGGAAAAACCATGGCTGGTCAGCAACAGCAAGACAGGATCAGATGGAGGTATTCAAAGGTCGCTGTGTCTGCAGCAGGATCTTAAAGCAAGATGCTGAACCTCGTTGTGTGTCAGTTTCCTTACCTGTAAAATGGGAGTGATTGTGAGGTTAGAGAACATGTGACAGGCCTGTCCCATAGCAGGTCTTCACTAAATCCCTCCAAAACCAGAAAGTGCCCCAACCTGTCACCTTTAGGTCTCCCCCGGCCCACTAGGGCTTCACACAAGAAGGGGGCCTGTAGGGGAGATGGTGCTCCTGGAGGCAGGTACCGAGAGGAGCTGGGAGGTCTGCATGGTAGTGCCGTCTGCCCCACTGATGTGTTCAGGAGCCTCCCTGGGCATCGCCCCCAACTCCCTGCAGGGCTCTCACTGCCGTCACCTCCCCCGTGTGTGCTGCAGGTGAAGGCTGCCATGTACCTGACTTACCTGCGGGCTGTGGGCGCCCCTCTCTGCTTCTACACACTCTTCCTCTTCCTCTGCCAGCAAGTGGCCTCCTTCTGCCGCAGCTACTGGCTGAGCCTGTGGGCAGACGACCCCGCCGTGGACGGGCGCCAGGCGCACGCGGCCCTGCGTGGCTCAGTCTTTGGGCTCCTGGGCTGTCTCCAAGGTGCTCCTCTGCCACCCTCCTTGTCCCCCTTCCTCCCAGCTCCACCCCGGGCTGCTCAGGGCCCCTTTGTGCGCCCATCCCTGGCCCAAGCACAGACCTGCGTCCTTGAGATGAGGCTTGGGATATGGGGGACAGGGCTCATCCCTCCTTTTCTGGAACCTTCAGTCTCTCTCAGCCTCACCTGCAAATGCAGAGGCTGAGGGGGTCTCAAATGCAGAATCTTGGCCCCAGACGTTGGGCAGCTGAGCACTTAGGTGGGGTCAACAGGACTCTGCCCCCCACCCTAACCAGAGGGCGGCTCCAAGGTCTGACTCCTGGCTTTCAGCACCCTCACCCCTGTCACACGCTGCTGCCACTCCCGGCCCCAGACTTCCAGGCACCTTGCCATCCTCACCTCCCATCTTCTCCTTTTTTGTTTTTTAAATTGAAATGGTCATTGAGAGAATTGTAGATTCATATGAAATAATCCAGAGATTCCAGTTCCCCCTAGCTAGGTACCATTTTTCAAAATGATAGTCCAGTATCACAGCCAGGATCATCAGGATGTTGACATTGGTACAATCCACCAATCTTACACAGATTTCCCTATTTTACTTGCACGTATGTGTGTGTGTGTGTGTGTGTGTGTGAAGTTCTATACAGTCTTACCCCTGGGTAGGTCTGTGTGTCCACCACTGCAGTCAAGATACTGAACAGTTCCAGCTCCACCTGATCCCTCCCATTGCCCTCTTATAACCACACCCACCTCCTCCAGCCCCTTCCCCATCCCTAACCCCTGCCTTGTCTTCTCCTTTGAAAACACGCCTGGCTGAGGGGAACGATGGGGGTGAACCTGTGAATTTAGCCTCATCTTTAAAGGGTGGCTTCACTGTTTTCAGGTTGCCTGCAGTCTGCCTGATTCACTGGGTGACCTTGGCCATGTCACCAAAAGGATGTGGGCATGTATCCCCTTCTGTAAAATGGGGACATCGGGCCCAAACTCCGAGGATCCTTCTAGTCCTAGGACTTGGGGTAGACAGTGGGGCGCCCAAGGGAAGATGATAGTTAAATAAGAGGAATTAGAAAGCGAATTGACACTCAGCCAAGCCCTTGTTGCATGAACTCAAATGCCCATTAGGGGGCACATTACCCTCTCAAAATCCTTCCACATCCATCCCTCAGTTGATAGGCCAGGGCAGGTTTTAGATCCCTGTTCTAAAGTTGGGGACTCTGAAGCCCAGAGAGGGTGCCTAGTTATGACTCTTTTGATTACAAGGAGCAGAAAATTCATCTCCAATTCAAACTGGTTTAAGCAACAAGAGAATTTGCTGGCTCATGTGACTGAAGTCCATAAGCAATAGCTTCAGATATGGCTGGATCCAGGGGTTCTAACACGGCTGTCAGAAATTGCTTCATTTCCTTCCTCTGTGATAGCTTCCTGTCCAGGCAGGCTCTTCCCCCAGCTAGTGGCAAGATGGTATCCCATAGCCCCAGCTTGGCCACCGCAAGAAAGAAGAGTACCTCTTTCACAGAAGCTCTAGCAAAGTCCCGGATCTCACTCTCGTTGGCTTAGCTTGGGCTGTTTGTTCACCCTGAACCGAATGTACTTGTTTGGATTGGCCAGGGATGGAATTTGTGCTACCCAAGGGCCAAGGGATGGAGTTAGCCCCATCCCAAGCACACAGATGGTCCTTGGAGGATAGAATGGTTCCACCGAGGGATAATGAGGGTGGCCGTATGATCAATGGCCACCATGAGGTGGGGTGGGGGGCTTGCCTAGGGGCCTCCACCCTCATGCTCTGACCCCTTCTCCTCCCCAGCCACTGGGCTGTTCGCCGCCATGGCCATGGTGCTTGTAGGTGGGGCCCGGGCATCCAGCCTGCTCTTCCGGAGGCTCCTGTGGGACGTGGTGCGCTTGCCCATTGGCTTCTTTGAGCAGACGCCCGTTGGGAACCTGCTGAACCGCTTTTCCAAGGAGACAGACATAGTAGATGTGGACATCCCGGACAAACTGCGGTCTTTGCTGACCTATGTGTTTGGACTCCTGGAGGTCATCCTGGTGGTGGTGGTGGCCACTCCACTGGCCATCATAGCCATCCTACCACTGCTGCTCCTGTATGCTGGGTTTCAGGTAGGGAGAAGCCAAGGGGCCTCCTGGGGCAGGCTGAGGTGACCTCAGCCACTCCCAGTCTTTGAACAGGACTCTGTGTGAGAGATTCTGCCCAGCTAGCCATCTGCTTCTAACACCTACTCCGGTCTCTGTCTCCAAAATATTCATGTCAGAGTTCTGCCTAACATCTAACCTGTTGCCCTGCTGCTGCCAACATCAGCTTTCCTTTCCCCAGTTATCTGGAAACCAGGAAGGCCTTGCAAGGCCTCAAAGTCTGTCATATTGGGCAAGACCCTCTCGGTTGCCAGGGTCAAAGACCAGCTCAAATTAGCCCAAACAAAGGAACAGAATTTAATGGCTTACATTTATGGGGTGCCGTGGGCCCAGCTGGCACCAGGATGTGTCTTTCCCTCCATATTTTAGTTCATGGTTCTCAAAGTATGATCCCAAGACCAGCAGCAGCATCACCTGAAACCTTGTTAGAAATGCACATTCTCGGGCCCCACCCCAGACCTACTGCACCAGACACTCTGGAGGTAGGGCCCAGCAATCTGTGTTTTAACAAACTCTTCAAACAAATGACCACCATTTTGATGCATTTGACAACCACTGGCTTGGCTGTGCTTGGCCAGATTTTGCATTGTTTTTGCAGGGGGCAGGTCTGATTGCTGCTGGCAGCCCCATACTCATGTCATTCCACCTTAGCAACCTCAGCCCAAAGAAAACTTCATATGTCAATTCCAGGGAAGATTCTGATTGCCCCTTTATGGATCACGTGCCCACCCCTGAACTAATCACAGTGGCCAAAGGGATAGTGTACCCTGACTGGCTAGGCTGGGTCATGTGACCATCTCTGTACTCAGGTCCCATGATTGACAGCCCCCCTAGGAAATCAAAAGTAAAATAGAAAAAACACGGTAGTCAGACAAAAACCATGGCCACCACTGTCCTCTGCAACTATCCAGGTCTTCTCTGAGTTCTCTAGACTTGCAGGAGGGGCTGCTTCTCTGTTGCAAGTTTTAGAGTCAGACAGAGGTGGGTTTAAATCCAGGCCTTGCCACATACCCCCCGTCGAGGCTTGGACCAGCTGCTTACATCCTTTGAGCCTCAGGTGTTCTTATCTGTAAAGTGGGAACGGCAGTAATGCCCCTGCACAATTAACGAGGTACTTTGTAAAGAAGCTGGAGTCCTGGTGGTGCAGTTGTTACTGGTGCATAGCCCGGGTGCTCTGTAAATACAAGCTCCCCCCACCTGCTTGCCAGCTGCACACAATTTGCCCTGGAGCCAGATAATGACAGTTGTATTATTTGTGTGTCATTATGACCCAGCTCCTGGCATGTGACCCTTGGGCTAAATGAGTGAATTAAACTCGACTAATGGCCTCCACTGCACCATACTGTTTTGTTCCTTCTATGATTTGCCCTAAGTGAAGCAATTGGCGTTAGTGTTGTGAAATGAGATGTTTAAACTAGATTGGTGGTTTTCAGCCACATTACAATCACCTGGAAGGCTTTTTAAAAAAGCCGAGGGGCCAGCCCCGGATATCCTGATTCAGATATTCTGGGGTGGGGCATCAGAGGTTCTTAAAGCTCCCCAGGTGGTCTTTAAAAGGACCACAGAACTTTGACTCTGCAAGGAAACTGGGGCCCAGAGAGGGGAAGCAGTTGGTCCGAGGTCACACAGTATAGAAGAGCCTGGTCTGGAACCCTGTGCTTGGGGCTCCCTGTGCTTCTGAAAGCTGCTGGTTTGTGTCTGCAGCCTCTTCCCTCTCCACCCGCTCCAGAGCCTCTATGTGGCCAGTTCATGCCAGCTGCGACGCCTGGAGTCAGCCACCCACTCGCTCGTGTGCTCCCACGTGGCCGAGACGTTCCAGGGTAGCACGGTGGTCAGGGCCTTCCGGGCCAAGGGCCCCTTTGTGGCTCAGAGTGACACACGTGTGGATGAAAGCCAGAGAGTCAACTTCCCACGGCTGGTGGCCGACAGGTAGGAAGAACCTGGGGGCAGAGAAGACCCCAGAGAGTGAGACCAGAGGTCAAAGCATACTGTGTGGCCAGATAGGTCAAGTGGGCTGCCTGAGGTCACACAGTGAGTCGGGGACAAAGCTGAGGCTAGGTCCCACGGGTGGCCTCTCAGCCTGCACTTCAGGCAAATGAAGCCTGGCCCAAGGGATCCCTAGTGCCAGCTAAGCAGGAGGTACAGGGGTCAGCAAAGAGAAGACACCTCTGTTGCCAGGCAACTGGACCAGCCTCTGTTGCCTTGGTGACAGAGCAGCTACATAAGCATCCTCAGCCTCTTTTCAGTACTAAGGAAGAGCAAGAACCCAAGTTGTGAGCACAGATAGATACAGGTTCAAATCCCAGCTCTGCCACTTCTAGCTGGGTGATCTCAGGGAACATTCAGACCGGAGGTGGGACATGGCTTTGCCTATTCCAGGAGCAAAGCAGTAGCCTGCACAGTAACATTCTACCAAGCACCTAGTGTGTGCTGGGCCCTGAGCTGGCAGAGGCGAGACAGCAGCAGCACCTTCTCCCACTCGTTGAGCTTGGGTGGGGCCTGGGGAGTGGGAAGGTCATTTCTGGGACTCCCACGGTACCTGAGCTGGCCTGATGACCAGGCCTTGTACCCAGAGAAACGGGTCCTCGCAGATCAGGGCACCACTGACTCCACCGCTACCTCCCACCCCCACAGGTGGCTTGCTGCCAATCTGGAGCTGCTGGGGAACAGCCTGGTGTTTGCGGCCGCCATGTGCGCTGTGCTGAGCAAGGCCTACCTGAGAGCCGGCCTCGTGGGCTTCTCTGTCTCCACTGCCCTCCTGGTACTCCCACCATCCCCCAACCTGGGGCTGGGAGCGAGGGCAGATCCAGAGACAGAGCCACCTGCTAGCAGCACCTTCCAAACTATCAGCGGATGAGAAAATACAGCTCTACAAGGGCTGGATTTAGCTGAGGTGACCTTGTGGGACCTGGGGCAAGGGTCTTGCTGCTCAGAGCCTCAGTGTGCATATCTGAAAAATGGGGCAGTAATCCCATCACTTCAGATGTGGTGAAGACTAGAGATGAGATAAAGTATATAGAATGTGTTTCCAGTGCATCATGGTGCTTAATTTTGTTAACCATTACTAACAGTATATAATGTCAGGTCATGATAAATGGTGAGGAAGAACAAGAATATATATGCATATAAATATGTACATAGAACTTGCTGTGACTGAGGCATTGTTCTCAGAGCCTGAAAAATATTAAGTCCTTTAATGTTGCCTACAACCCCACTAAACAAAAAAAACCGAATCCATTGCTGTTGAGTTCATTCCAACCCATAGCAACCCTATAGAACAGAGCAGAACTGCCCCATAGGGTTTCCAGAGAGCAGCTGGTGGATTCGAACTGCCAGCCTTTTGGTGAGCAGCCGAGCCCTTAACCACTGCACCACCAGGGCTCCACTAGGATGGTACTACTCTTATCCTTGTCCCTGGATGGGTGCAAACAATTAAGCACTTAACTAGTAACTGAAAGGTTGGCGGTTCAAATCCACCCAGAGTCGCCTTGGAAGAAAGCCATGACAATCTGGTATGGAAAGGTCACAGCCTTGAAAACCCCACGGAGTGCAGTTCCACTCGGCACCCACGGCGTTGCCGTGAGTCAGAATCAACTGGACAGCAACTGGTTTGGTTTTGGTTTGGACTCTTAGCTGCATTTTAGAGTGGAGGCAGCTAAGGCACAGACAGCGTAAGGGGAAGGCCAAGTAAGAGGATAGCACGTGACGGGGGTTGTTTTTCTATTGCGTGGCCAGGCAGGGCCTCTCTAAGGAGGCGACTTGTGAACTGTGGCCTGAAGGAAGTGAGGGCAGAGGGAGAGCACCTGGGGGAGGAAGCTCCAGGCAGAGGGAACACGAGGAGCAAAGGCCCTGAGGCAGAAGTGTGCCAGGTGTGTCGGGAACAGCAAGGAGGCCAGTGTGGCAGGAGAGCATGAGCGAGGGCAAGAGCGGAGGGAATGAGGTTGGGGAGAGGCGGCTGAGGGCCAGAGCATGCAGGGCACGTAGGCCCTGGTGAGCAGCGTGGGACAGGAAATCACTGGAGGCCCAGCCCCCGCTGGGAAAGCTCTCGGAACTGGAAGTCAGTGGGCCTGGGACCTGCTGGGTGTCCTTGGGAGCGTCAAACGCCCTCTCTGGTCCTGTCTCCCACATGTATCAAGACGAGTTGGGGAGCTGGAACCTGAGGCCCCCTTTCTGCTCTGCATGTTTTGGTTCTAGGGAAGGAAGAGAGCCAGGAAGGGAAGTAGAGAGAAAGGGAGGGAAGGAACGAAGGGAAGAGGGAGAGAAGGAAGGAAGGGAGGGAGGGAAGGAAGGAGAGAGAAAGAAAGGAAGGAAGGGTCGTATTTGCTGTAGCCAAATCCCATACCCTTGGACCAGGTCCTCCAACGGCTGTCCTTATATCCCCTCCTTGATCTCCGAGTCCTCCTCCCGCCTGCCTTGGGGGCTGGTATGAGCCTGTGGTGGCCTCGCTGAGGTGCAGCCTGAGGGGTCTTGTCCCACCAGGTGACCCAGACGCTGCAGTGGGCCGTCCGCAACTGGACAGACCTGGAGAGTAGCATCGTGTCCGTGGAGAGGATGAAGGACTACGCCCAGACGCCCAAGGAGGTGACGGGGGGGACGGCGGTGGGTGCCCCCAGCCAGGACCTAGTTGGGAGGACAGTGGACCCAGGTCCACATCTGCCATGGGCTTTGGAGTCTGCAGTCCACGTCCCCCCAGCCCCCAGCAGCCTCAGCCGGAGTCACAGCAGGGTGCCAGTAATGGTTAAGAGGGCGGGGGCTGGAGCCAGAGTCTAATTCTGGTTCCTTTGCTTCCTAGCTTGAGCGTAGCAGGTCACCCATCTGAGCCTCGGGATCATGAGAATAGCAGCCACATTACAACAAAACAGCAACATTATAAGAACATAACAAAACAAAACAGAAACACCAAACCAGTTGCCATCAAGTTGATTCCTACTCGTGGCGACCCCATGTGTTATAGAGCAGAACTGTTCCACAGTTTTCTTGGCTGTAATCTTTATGGAGCAGATTGCCAGGACTTTCATCCACCGAGCCAGTGGGTGGGTTCACACTGCCAACCTTTAGGTTAGCAGCTGATTGCAAACTGCTTGCACCCACCACTCAGGATCCTGTCACCTAAGAGTATGGGGTTTACTGGGAGGATCAAATGAGCTCCCTGGAGTGAGTAGCGTGTCTGGCACACCATGAGCACTCAGTACATGTCTACTGCTCTTACTAGCCCGATCTCACAGATGGGAAATAAGGCTCAAGGATGTTGACTGACCTGCTGAAGGTCACAAGGATTGCAAACGGCACTGTTCTTACTACAGTCTTACCCTCTTCACAAAGTCTACCCCCACTAGAGGGAGAGAGAACATTATTACTTGACAACAAGCCATACCATACCCATTGCTTTCGAGTCGATTCCAACTCATAGCGACCCTATAGGACAGCGTAGAACTACCCCATAGCGTTTCCAAGGAGCAGCTTGTGGATTTGAACTGCCGACCTTTTGGTCAGCAGCCGTAGCTCTAACCACTGAGCTACGAGGACTCCACTGACAACAAACAGTGGCTTATTATTAATAATAAAAGAGATAAAAGCTAGCTATCACCATAATTATTTTTATGAGATCAGGTATCTCTTTGTAGCCTATGTTCCACGCCCTCTCATTTAATTCCCATAACAACTCTGTGAAATAGCAGTAAGTATGCCCATTTTATAGAAGAGGAAACAGGCGCAGAGAGGTAGGTCACTTAGTAAGTAAGAAGCCTTGAAGAAAGACTGACTCTGTGTCCACTCCTGCCCTAGCTCCCCTGGAAGCTGCCCACCTGTGCAGCCCGGCACCCCTGGCCTCATGCAGGGCAGATTGAGTTCCGGGACTTTGGGCTGCGGTACCGGCCCGAGCTCCCGCTGGCTGTGCGAGGTGTGTCCATAAAGATCCACGCGGGAGAGAAGGTGAGTAGTTTTCCCACAGCGTCCTCCTCAGGGGCCTCAGAGTCACTGCCAGGCTGGGTTATCACCTCAGGGTCCAGGCTCTGAACACCAGCTGCCACCTCAGTGTCCCCACCTCGGTTCCCCTATCTGCAGACCCACCACTCCCTAACCGGGTTCCTCATCTTTGCCAAGCCTGCTCCCTTCTTAGTCATGCGCCTCCCCCTCAATGACCACCCCCAGGTCCCAGACGGGGAGGCGTCTCCCAAACCCCTTCTTCTTCTCCTGCCGTTGGTTGAACATCTGCTGTGTGCTGAGTGTGTATGTACAGAACACTCCACATGATCCAGTTTGCGTGGGCTTGGCTCCTGGCTTTGTCATGGGCGACCTTTGACAAGTCACTTTAAGGCTCTGAGCCCCAGTTTTCCCATCTGTAAAATGGGAATAATAGTATCAACCTCATGGAGTTGTTGTGAAGTTTAACTGAGTTAATACATATAAAGTGCTTGGACAGATCGACAACAGCAACTCAAAAGATTAAATAGGAACCTTAGGGGGCAGTGAGTTTATGTTAATGGGGAAGAACAACTCAGAAAAAGAGGGTGAGAAGGGCTGCATGACTTGAAGAATGTAATCGGTGTCACTGAATTATACATGGGGACACTGTTGACTTGGTATATGTTTTGCTGTGTGTATTCGCAACAAGGAAACCCTGGGGGCACAGTGGTTAAGTGTTGGGCTGCTAACCAAAAGGTCGGCAGTTCAAATCCACCAGGCACTTCTTGGAAAACCTATGGGGTATTTCTACTCTGTCCTATAGGGTTGCTATGAGTCGGAATCGACTTGATGGCACGGATTTGGTTTTGGTTTATTCTCGACAACAATAACAACAAAATAAAATTTAAAACAATGGTGCTCGGAACAGTGCCTGGCAACAGCAAGCACTACAGAAATGTTCGCTGGCACCTCTGTTGGTTATTACTTGCATTTCCACTCTCACAACACCCCTGTGAAGGAAGGAGCTCGTATCACCCCATCTCACAGATCCCGGTTGTGCCCCCGGCCTCCCTCCCGGCTGCCCTCCTTGCCCCCACCCTGGGAGGACCAGTCCAGGCTCCCGGGTGAGTCCCCAGCCCCCATCTCAGCACCTCCAGTCTTCTCCCCTGTAATCTTTAGTCGAACATGTGACTCCCCTGCCCAGACCTTCCTCCAGCTCCCAGCTTCACCTAGGGTACAGCCCAAATTTCTGAGCTTGGCATTCAAGGCCCTGCCCAGTCTGGCCCCAGCCCACCTCTCTACAGCTCTCTGCCCATCACCTCATTCATTGCTTTGCTAGGGCTTTGCCAACACCTGTGGAGCAGCTGCCTCGGGGCCAGGTGGGCAGACACGGTGCTGCCTTCAGCGAGCTTGCATTCTAGCACTCCGTGTGGTTTACCTGGAGTCTTACTTCCTTCTTTGAACTCCTACTCATCCTTTAGGATTCCACTCAAGTATCCCCTCCTCCAGGAAACCTTCTCTGGGGTAGCCTTCTACTCCAGCCCAGGCAGCATGAACTGCATCTCCCTGCTGACCTCCATTGCTACAGGTCTGGAGCTTGATCATAGACAGCACTTATTTATCCGCACTGATATTTATCCACACTGAGGAGCCCATGGCACAGTGGTGAAGCGTTTGGCTGCTAACCAAAAGGTCAGCAGTTCGAACCCACCAGCTGCTCCACAGGAGAAAGATGAGGCAGTCTGCTTCTGTAAAGATGTATAGCCTCGGAAACCCCATGGGGCAGCTCTACTCTGTCCTAGAGGGTCGCTGAGTTGGACATTAACTGGATGTCAATGGGTATTTATCACACTGTATTAAAATGAAGTTTACTCAGTTGCACTATTTCCAAGACCAGATGGTGAGCCCTGTGGAGCAAGGACTACTTAATTTCTGTATTTCTAATGCCTAACAGGGTGCCTGGCATACAGTGGGGGTGACCTAAATATTTCATTTGTTTATTAAACAAATAGTTTTGAATCTCACCATATGTCAGATACTGTGGATGCAACAGAAAGCAAGAGAGAAGGGTGGGGGATGAATAAAATGATGGGCAGAGGGATGGAAGGATAGGGGTGTGGATGGAAGGATGGTGGAGGGAAGGAAGGATTAGGGATAGATGAAAGGACACAGTATAGGTAAAAGGGTGGAGGATGGATGGAAGGATGGAGGATATATGGATGGGATGGAAGGAAGTATGATGGAAAGAATGATGGGAGATGGATGGGTGGATGAATGAATGAAAAGGGGGGATAGAAGGATAATGGGATGGCTAGAAGGATGGAGGATGGATTATGAAAGGATTGGGGATGGATGGATGCATTAATGAAAGGAGGGGGGAGAGAAGGATGATGGGATGGATAGAAGGATGGAGGATGGAGGGAAGGCTGAGGGGTGATGGAGGGATGGGGTGTGGATGAAAGGATGGTGAAGGAGAGGAGGAAGAACAGGGAAGGATGGAAAGATGGACAGAAAGAAGGGCAGAAGTATGGAAGGAAGGTTGGGGGAGAGATGCAAAGATTGAGGAGATATGTCAGGATGAAGAGAGGATAGAAGAATGCACAGACGGAAGGGTGGACAGATGGATAATTAGGCAGATGGAAGGACAGATGGAGAGACGGAAGGATGGATGCTCAAAGGATGATGGATGGACGGATGGATGTGGGTACAGGGAAAACCTCTCCAGGCTCTGGCTTGCCTCCCTCTGGCCAGGCCTGGTCAGAACAGGCCTTGCCCTCTGTCCCCTGGCAGGTGGGCATCGTAGGCAGGACAGGGGCTGGGAAGTCCTCCCTGGCCAGGGGCCTGCTGCGGCTCCTGGAGGCAGCTGAGGGCGGAATCTGGATCGACGGGGTCCCCATCACCCGCGTGGGGCTGCACACACTGCGGTCCAGGATCACCATCATCCCCCAGGTGAGGCCGGGAGAAGCCTGGGGTCGGGGGTGGGGGCAGAGGTGCAAGGCATGGCTGGGCCTTGCTCTGACCTGCTGCCGTCTTGCCAGGACCCCATCTTGTTCCCTGGCTCTCTGCGGATGAACCTCGACCTGCTACGTGAGCACACAGATGAGGCCATCTGGGCGGCCTTGGAGACTGTGCAGCTGAAAGCTGTGGTGGCCAGCCTGCCCGGCCAGCTGCAATACCAGTGTGCCGACCAGGGGGACAACCTGAGGTATGGCTGTCTTGCTGTGGCCAGGCTCTGCTGGGAGTGTGTGGGGCGGGGGTGGGCAGGCAAACATGGCCCGGGTGCCTTCACCATGGGTACTGGAGGAGTCCCAAGAAATCTGCCTCTCTCATGGGATTATCAACCGCAAGGTCCCTGGGTGGAGCAAATGGTTTGCACTCAACTACTAACCTAAAGTTTGGCAGTTCAAACCCATCCAGCAGAAACACAGAAGAAAGGCCTGGCAATCCGCTTCTGTTAACATTACAGCCAAGAAAACCCTATGGAGCAGTTCTCCTCTATAACACATGGGTCACCATCAGCTGGGCAATGGTTGTTTTTTTTTGTTCTATTAATAATCATAATACAAATCCAATCCCTTATCAGCAATGCCAAAATCCAACAAAATCTCTGAATACCAGATTTCTTTTTCCTAAATATGGATCCTAAATTTGATGCAAAACCCAATCTCAACTGACAGGAAGCTATTTTAGTCTTTATTTAGCCTTCTCTGTCTCTTTCTCCCTCTATATATATATATTTTTTTTCTACAAAAATATTGTGTTTGTTACTGGGTGCTAACGCCAGACCCACAGTATTAAGTAACATGTTGTATATGCCTTTTTAAAAACTGAGACCTTCTGGGCTCCAAAACGCTCTAACCCCGAAGGTGTCAGGATGAGACTGGAAGGTGGTGGTTCCCAAGCAGTGAGAGGCAGTGTAGCTGGGGGGCTAAGAGCACAGACTAGCCCCAGACAGCCTGGGTGCAAATTTAAGCTCCCCCGCTTACTCATTATAGGACCTGCTGTGCCTCAGTCTCCTCATGTGTAAAATGGGGATGATAATAGTGTGAGGATGAAGTGAGTACTATGCATAAAGTTGTTGCAACAGTGCCTAGCATGTAGGAAACAAGAAATGTTTATCCTCAGAGCCGCGCTCTCATTGGAGTTGGAATGTGAAGCTTGAGACTTGGCCAGGGCCACCCACCTTGTAAAGGGCGAGGCTGGAGCAAGGCCCAGGCACCAGGATGCCTGCAAGGTGGTCTCGGCCCCAAGTGGTGTGTCAGCGACCACACACCCCCTCCCCCCGACAGCTTGCCCATAGTAGGTTCTGGTTCTCTAGAGACACTGCTTCACAAAAGGGTGTATATGGTGAGGAAGCAGAGCATGGCATGTAACAGCCCAAGCCACCCCTGGTCCCAGAGGCCCACCCAATCTGGTCATGGTCTGTCAGTCATCGGCTGTGTCACTTGAGCCTCAACTTCCCCATCTGTAATTAGAGTAAGAGAAGCTACTTTGGGCCAAGCACGCCTGAGCCCTTTTATCTGATTTCTCCTGTCCTCACAGCTCAGTGTCCTGAGTTCATATTCTGGCTCCGCCACTGACTAACATTGTGACCCTTGTCAAGTCACTTAACCTCTCTGTGCCCGTTTTCTCCTCTGTAAAAAGGGAGAATAACAATACCTACCTTTGGTCATTATGAGACTTAGGTCGAGATACACACAAGCGCTAAGAGTGTGTCTGGCACGTGGAGAGGACCATAGAATAGAAACACCCATTTCACAGGTGAGGAAACTGAGGCACAAAGGGTTTGAATGACTTACCTGAAGTCACCCTGCTTGAAAATGGCCTTTCCAACCAGGCCTTTCTGACCGCAGCCCCGGGTGGGGATGCACACGCCGCACATGCAAGCACGTGGACGCACATGCCCTTGCTTCAGTGGCTGTCGTGGGGACCCAGGAGTGGCAAACTCTAGAAATCCTGATACGTAGGCCAGCATTTGTCTGGCCTGACTGCCCCACTCATTCCCAGCATTGGCCAGAAGCAGCTCCTGTGTCTGGCTCGCACTCTGCTCCGGCAAACCCAGATCCTCATCCTGGATGAGGCCACGGCGGCTGTGGACCCTGGGACGGAGCACCAGATCCAGGCAGCCCTCGGTAGCTGGTTTGCCCAGTGCACCGTGCTGCTCATCGCCCACCGCCTGCGCTCGGTGATGGACTGCACCCGGTAAAGCACCCCCCAGCTGGCCCCCAGCCAGGCACCTGGGGGTCTAGAGGGGCCCTGAGCAGGTAGAGGAGGGGCTGGGTGCAGTCCCCGCCCACGGGGGGTCAGGATCTAGAGCTTGTAGGGCCCCTGGAATGGATTCTCAAGTGCCCATTGTACAGATGGCAAGACTGATGCCCACAGAGGAAGGGATGAGCCGCCCAAAGACATATGCCCATCAGATGCTTCCAACCTGGGGCAACACATGGAAGGCTGGGGTTCTGGGAGCTCACCTGGGCATCTCCTCTGAGCTCTCGGAGGTTCTGAGTGGCTGGGCTGGTGTTGAAAGAGCTGCCTCTCTCCCTCGCCCCCCACAGGGTGCTGGTCATGGACAAGGGGCAGGTGGCAGAGAGCGGCAGCCCGGCTGAGTTGCTGGCCCAGGAGGGCCTGTTTTACAGGCTGGCGCAGGAGTCAGGCCTGGTCTGAGCCAGCTCGCTCCCTTACCCCTGGGACAGAAATGGCAGAGAAAGTGGCAGATCATCACGGAGCATCAGACCTGGAAGCACCTAGCAACCCCAGCTCTGGGCACATCCAGACCAAAAGTCTGCGGCGGCTCTCAGCCCTGGCTGCCCACTGGGCTTATGTGGGGAGCTCAAAATATACCCGTGCTCAGGCTCCACACAGACCAACTACATCAGAACCCCAGGCTGAGGCCTAGGCAATGGTATATAGAGACTGTCATTATCAACCTTTCTATTTTGAGATAATTGTAGATTCACATGCAGTGGTAAGAAATAATGCAAAGATCCTGTGTACCCTTTATCCAGCTTCCCCCAATGGGAACATCTTGCAAAATGATAGTTCAGTATCACCACCAAGATATTGATGTGGATACAAATCCAAATCCACCGAACTTACTCAGATTTCCTCATTGTTACTTTATCATTTGTGTGTGTGTGTTCTATGCAATCTTATCACATGTGTAGGCTGCTGTTAGACCCACACCATGTTTCCTTGGGAGACCAGCCCTCAGGGCTGTCCCTGCTACTAAGCCCCCCTGCTGCAAGCTCCTGCCACAATGCCAGGAACACAAGTCAAAAGAAAAACCAACCAACCAAACCCGTTGCCATCAAGTCGATTCTGACTCATAGTGACCCTACAGGACATAGTAGAACTGCCCCATAGGGTTTCCAAGGCTGTTATCTTTACGGAAGAAGACTGCCACATCTTTCTCCTGTGGAGTGGCTGGTGGGTTCAAACCACCAACATTTCAGTTAGCAGCCAAGCGCTTAACCACTGTGCCACCAGGGTTCCTTGGAACTCAAGATACATCCAAGAAAAGCCATAATTCAGACCTTCCTTGATCAGGGCCTTGGGCTGTGTTGCAGGCTTAGTGGGTAACTTTAGTGTCCATCTCGTCACTGCAAACATTTAACTGTGAGCCAGAAGCTGTTCTGCCTTGCCCATAGCCATTCATTTAACCCTCATGACTGGATGAAGGGACTGTCACTAGGCCCCTTCCGGGGGTCCTTTGATGAGCAAGGAAGGATTATTGGGCCCCTCCTACAGATGAGAAAACCCAGAGGGATTTGCACCCAGGTGGTCTGACTCCAGTATCCACACCCCCAACCACCACGTCACACTGCCCTGTGCACACGTCTTTAGATCTTGAACATCCACCCACCCGTACCAGCTGGAATTGCGCTCTAGAATCCCACCAAAAGGGAAGGAAAGGGCTTCCTTTCCTTCTTGAGCAGAGGGATTTTTATGTTTGCTCACTGCTTTCCCCCGGCACCCAGCGCAGTGCACCCAGGAAGGATCAATAAATACTGATTGCCTTGACAAAATGGATGAAGGAAGGAACAGATGGATGGATGGTGTCACCATGTCTGCAAGCGGCCCTAGAGTCAGGCATGGTGCTGAGGGCTTTACCCCGTGATCTGTTTTCATCCTCGTAATGGCCTGGCCAGGTGGATACAGTGACCCCCACTGTAATGCAGAGGAAACTAAGGCTGCATAAGGGCAGGTTCTAGAGACCCTGTTCACCCTCAGCCCAGGGCTGGGTGCATGCCACGCAGTCCCCAAAGAAGCTGTAGTGGCTGGGGACATAGTAATGAGTAAACCCATGAGCTCCCTGTTCTCAGGAGCTGACATTCTAGAGCAAACGGGGAAGGGAGGAGGCAGTGCTGACATCAGGGGAGAAGAAGGAGGACCCTGTGGCACAACTGCAGCTGGCAGCCTGAAGAACAGCAGGGAGGCTAGAAGCCCCATGGTGCAGGGCTTGAGGCCAGGCTGGCTGTGACCTGCATGAAATGGGGAGGCACGGGAATGACACGGTCTGTTATGGATTGAACTATGTTCCCCAAAATATCTGTCCTAAACCCTAATCCTTACACCTGTGGTTATAGTCCCATTTGGGAATGGGTTTTCTCTGTCATGTGAATGAGGCAGTAGTAGTATGGGGTGTGTCTAATCAGTCTTTTTTGAGATACATAAGCAGATGGAGCACGCAGGCACGCGCAGATGGAGGGGACGAGGCATGCCACGTGATCGCCAAGGAACCTGGGCATAAAAGCTGAAAGAGACAAGGACGTTCCCCCAGGGCAGACAGAGAACGCTTCCCTAGAGTGGGCGCCCTGAATTTGGACTTCTAGACTCCTAAACTGTGAGACAATAAATTTGTTAAAGCCACTCACCTGTGGTATTTGTTACAGCAACACGTGATCTGGCATAGGTTTTACAGGGCCTGTGGCTGCAGGGTTGAGCACACACCGAGAGTGTGGGGCAGGGGGTGGCTGAGGGCGGATGCAGGGAGACCCCTGAGGAGGCTGCCGTAATGGTACAAGGGAGAGATTATGGTGGTGGGACACGGTGGCTGCAATGGGAGGGATGAGAAAAGGTCAGATTGTGGATATTTTGGAGAAGATCAAAATCATTTGCTGTAGGACCGGATATGGAGTGTGATAATGAGGAATGCATAAGAAGCTCAACATTGGGAAGCAACAGGTCTCCTGGGTCTGGCGGATCCCTTCCAATGAGAACAGCTGTGCACAGCAAACCTCACCCTACCCCTCTGCACACAGCACTGAAGCGCTTACCTGGATGAGCAGGTCCGAGGCTTCCAACCGAGGCTTCCCTCCTAACCTTGCGCTCCCAGTTCCACACGGTTCCGGGTTACTGCTTCTTCCTGCTGCCTCTTCATAAAGCACATTCAAGTTCAAGCCAGCCCTGGGGTTTCTCCTGACCACCCAGCCGCCCTCACCCCCAGTGAACACCCACAGACACACATCAAGTCGAGCTGAGACCCGTTTCAGATCTGACCTGAGATTTTAATACAGTCAGCTCTGAGACAGAAACGTATCTCCTAACTAGACTTAAGACTGCCCACCTGGCACGTCCAAATAATATGACTAACTCTAATGGTAATAACCTTGTTGTTGTTAGTTGCCCCTAGCTCAGGGTGACCCCATGCACAATGGGATTGGATTGTTGTGATTCATTGCATTTTTTGTTGGCCGATTTTCAGTAGATCATCAGCCCTTTCTTCTTAGTCTGGAAGCTCTGCTGAACCCTGTTCGGCATTACAACACGCAAGCCTCCACTGACAGACGGGTGGTAGCTGTGCTTGAGGTGCACTGGTGGGAATCAAACCTGGGTCTTCTACGTGGAAGGCGAGAATTTTACCACTGAACCACCACTGTCCTTGGTAATAACCTTACCGGCTACATTTCACTGAACACCTTCATACTTTGCAGCCCTAATGCCAGCCAACTGTTTCAGTTGGGGGAGAGCAGTGCTGGAGGGAAAATAGGCAGTGCTGGAATGTTCCATGTGCACACTGCACTTGGTGTGTGGCTTTAGGATGTGGCAGAAATGGTGTGTGTGTCCCCAAATTCAGGGCTTCCTCACTATCCAGACTCACCCAATATGAACTCAGAAACCAAATAGATTCAGAACATTCTTTAGATACCCGAGTCTCACTGCCCATCAAAACTCAGGAACCAAATCAGTTAGGATAGGGAGAAATACTTGTCTTCATACGCACCCTTACATTTCCCAGCATCCTTTGTGATTTGGTTGGGACCTGGTGACTAATTTTGGCCAATGGTCCATGAGTGGAAGTGACTTTGTCACTTCTGGTTTAAAACACTTAAGATGTGAGTTGCCCACATTCTCTCTTCCCCTGCTATAGTGGCCAGGAGGCCAGCCCTTAAGAGATGACGTCTTAAGATGTCGTTAAGACCAGAACAGTCTGGATCTCTCAGCTGCTACATGGAAGGCAGTTTCCCCAAAGACCCTCATCAAAGATCGTATGAGCAAGCAGTCAACCCTGGTGTTAATTTACCGAGATTTCACAGTTAATTTGTTACTGCAGCACGGCCTAGTCTATCCTGACACAAAGGGATTTTCAAGAGTAACTTTGGCCATGTGGCGTTTTTGCCTCACCTGTGTCTTAGAACATGACCATGTGTTCCACACACACCACTGCTAAACTGCACAACAATCCTATGCAGTAGGTACAATTAGGCTCATTTTTCAGACCAAGCAACTGAGGCACAGAGGCTAAGTGACTTATCCAAGGTCACAGAGCCAGTAAGTGACAAGGGCTGTCCACCTGCCATGCTAACTCCCCACTAAACCTCACCCTGATTCTTGACCTCCAGACTCCTTGTTTCGGAAGGCAGCTCCTACCACAGGCACCATGTTGGCCAAAGAGGAAGCGTATAAGCAGCTGAGAAGACGTCCTATACCGACTCTACTGGAGTGATGGCTGAAAGCCTTTGCTAGTGCCGCAAAGAAAGTGGCATAGTCATTTAGAAAGAAATAAAGTATACTTTTACTGCAAATGTTTCCAGTGTAAGTCATTACAAAAAGATACCCAAGAAAAACTTGGCTTATCTAACGTGATAGAATGGTATAATTTACCAAAAAAATAAATATATATTTCCACCTAAAAGAAGAAAGATGCTTCTCTGGGTTTTGAAGTCAGCAACGTAATTCACAACAAGCATGAATTTTGAAGCAGCCGTGACCTCTCTCTGCTTTCTGGGTCTCGCTTTGGCCACCAACCAGGAGACCTGTGGCATGGGCCTTGATGGGCTCTGCTTCTCCGTTTTCTTCCAGGAACACACGGACCAACTGTCAAACACAGGGCCAGCGTGGCCATTCCCTGGGAATGCTGCTCTGTCCAACATGTCCTCCCAAGAAAGTAAAAGTCTTGGGACTGTTTTATTCCCTGGAGTAGTACTTAAACAAACAAAAATATATATATATACACACACACACGCATATATATATACACACACACACACCATCACTGATATTCAGAGTGCGATCTTTCCTTGACCTGGAAGAGGATCAGTAACTAAATGTCAAGTTCTCCACACCACCATACTTGGCAGCTAATCAAATTCCAAGGGTGAGAAATTAAAATCTAAAAATAAGAAGTACCTTGAGACCAGAACTAGATGGTGCCCAGCTACCAC